GGACCCACACCCTCGCTCCTTCCAGCCCGCAACACCCCACAGGGCCTAAGTCACAAGTTTCCCCTGCGTTTCCCCACTCATAAATCCTCTTCCAGCTTCCTCAGTTTCACTTAAATCTTTTTCATTCCCAATCCTCACAGACATCCTATTGTTAGAAGAAATGACACCAAATTTCCAAAGACCTCACTCTGGTGGGTCTGACCAAGCTGTTCTTTGCATCCTCCTCTCTACCTCTCAGGTGCCAGAATTGGTCCAAATCCACTTCTAAAAGTGGATGACACAAAATCGACTGAAGAGAAGGGACTCTTCTCATCATAAGCTCACATTGTGTCTGCCACGGAGCCGTATTATTGTAGGTCTATCGCTTCTAACCAGATTATAATAAATAGTACGGGGTCTAATCACCTGACTTCTGCCTAGCACATCGCTGTACTTGAAACAGAGGTTCAAGTAAAACTGATCAAGTAACTCCCCTTCATTTGCTCCCCTTCTCTCTCTCTGTCCCTTCCACAAAAAAAAAAAAAACAAATACTTGAATTCTCTCATCAGCAAGAAAAAGTTTTTGCATTTGCCTGCTAGAGATGAACGTCTATGAAAAGTCACTCCTGCCACGTCAACCCTAAAAGGAATCTGATCAGAGGCAGCTCTAAATTGTCTGAAGTTATTTCACTCCACACTCCTGTTCTCTGTTCAAGGCCTAATCCCATCAGAATTATTTCCCTGAAATATATAGCTTCCTTCCACGGTGTCCCCTCCACCTACATACACACACACACACACACACACACATGTACACACGTGTGTGCACACAGACAAATTATTCTCTAATGCTATAAAAAGACGACGATTAGGAATCCCATAATGTAATTGCTATACTAAAAAGAAGTAGCAGGCGAAAATAATAAGGAAGGGTGAAAAAAGGTGAAATACAGCAGTAGACTTCAGGAAAAAAAAACTACAGTCTGTGATGGGGGTGTTAATTGAACCCAGAGAAAAAAGAAAAGAGAGAGAACAAAGGCATGTTAAGAAAGCAAAAAATAATTTTTTTAACCTCCTTCAGTGATTTGATAACTTCACTGTAGATAATATGCAGAGGAAAATTGGCTGAAAAGTGCCATATATAGCTATTATGTTCTAAAAGTAAAAACTATTCACAACAATTACAGCTATTCGTTACTATCTATAAAGTCTTCTTAGTAAACGGCACCCAAAATTTTTTGTGTGTTTTCCTCATTTTTAAACCAGCATGATTTTTGACACAGAAATTTTTAAAAATCAAGAAACATTTAAAAATATAGTTAAAGGGGCTTCCCTGGTGGTGCAGTGGTTGAGAGTCCGCCTGCTGATGCAGGGGACACGGGTTCGTGCCCCAGCCTGGGAAGATCCCACATGCCGCGGAGCGGCTGGGCCCGTGAGCCATGGCCGCTGAGCCTGCGCGTCCGGAGCCTGTGCTCCGCAACGGGAGAGACCGCAACAGTGAGAGGCCCGCGTACCGCAAAAAAAAAAAAAAAAATATATAATTATTTATATATATATATACACATATATATATACATATATATATATATAGAGAGAGAGAGAGAGAGAGTTAAGGTCTTTTTAAGAAATGCAGTATGTTTGAATTTTTCTTCTCCTTCTCTTCCATCCTATCAACCCCACTACCACTACCTCTACACATATGCAAAACCCAGCCTATTGCTAATATGTCAGAAGACAAGGAAGGTTCTTAAGAAACAAAAGAAAATGAGATATTAAATGGTCCAAAACTCTCTATGAAATCTCTATGTTCCCAGAAGGAACAAGCAGATAAAAGCCACTTCTGAAATACACTTGCTGGAGGTCTTGACAGGGCTTTCTTGCTGTTGAGATCTACTGCCTGAGAATTTTGCAGGCATTCCTTGTTCTTAGCATTTATTAAAAAAAGCAAAAAGTTACCAAAATAAAAACTTACCTACATTCTCAACAAGAAAACACTAGGGTTCTCTTTTTTTTTTTTTTTTTTTCTGAATATCCCCACAGTAATTTTTGACTAAATACCTATCAATCAACTGTAATCTAGACGGAGCTGCCTACTTTGGGTGTTATGCGTGTGTGTTTCTTTAAAGTTCCAAAAGGTTGGTAAGACAATCTTAGCTAGTTTCCCTACTAATTTCTGAGTTTTCCAATGAAAGTCCTTCACAAAATCAAAAAAGCAAAAGCAGCCAAGGAATGCAATCACCAGGCTTCCTTTCAGGGTCCTGCCTTCCTTGTAAAGACCTAGGTAAGCCCACTGAGCGAGCTCCGTGTGAGAATACAAACAAACAAACAGAGCCCACCCTAAATCAAGTAACCTCCACAATGCTTGAGACGGAAGCTCAAAAATACTCATTCAATGTGAGGGGCCTGAAAGTAACAATAGGAAAAGTCCCAAAACAATGAAGAAATGTATGTGAACTGATCATCCAAGTGATCTTTTCACTAGCTCTGTATCAAGAGGGGGAAAAAAAAGAGCTCCTACAACTTTACAGACACTATGTGTCTCAGACACGTCAACCGTATGTAAGATTTGTGGGCTCGTAGAAAGAGGGTGAGGCCGATCCTGAGTAAGTAATCGTGCTTTAGAATCAGAGTCCTTTTCAACACACCGCAGTTGTCTCCTACCTATAACACCGAACACTCAACATTCCAGGAGAGGTTTCTTCCTTCCCCTTAATCCTTCCAATACACAAGTTGAGGAATAAGGAGAAAGGACTTTTTTTCTTTCTCTTTTTTCTCTTTTTCTTTTATTTTTTTTACTTTCACCCATGGGTGCTCTCTCAATCCAAAACTCCGTGTGTATGTGTGTGTGTGTGTGTGTGTGTGTGTATGTGTGTGTGTGTGTGTGTTTATTTCCCTCTTAACACGGGGCCAATGATCCTTATCATTTTCAATTTACAGTACTCAATGAACTATTTTTTAAATATATTATTTGAGAGACAACACACAAAACCGTGATTTAGATTTTTAAAAATCTCCAAATGTTAATGTCATTCAATAACAGAAAATCTTATAAACAAAATATATAATCCAACAATTATACCTTTAGAGTATTATTTTGACCTTCCTATCACCATAGTTTAGGCAATATTCATGTAAGGAGCAAACTCTTGAACCCACACCAGAACCAGATCTCCATTCACACCCACTCACTTTGATCTACTGCCTCAGTAGGTTTTAATTAGAAGACTAGAATTAAACACTTTGGCCACAATATACATTTAAGTGCCCTGATGGGCTTCCTTTCAATAAAAGTCTGATAAAGTGTCTTTAAAATAGAGTCTCTTTGGCCTGGATTATCAAATATGCCTTTAGAGCTTGGTTCTACATTTTATGAAGCAAGATTAGCAGGAACGCATACCTGATTAGTAACAAATTTCAACAGACCAAATATTCCAAGTAAATAAGCAACAGAGAAAAAAGAAAATGAGAAGGAAGGAAAAAAAAGAAGAGAAAGAAATATATACACACTTAGGTTTCCTGCTCCGGGTTAATAGAAAAAAAAAAAAAAACTAGAAAGTGTGACAAACTGAAAAAGCCCTTTCGATATTTGTATACACAATCCATACATTTCTTAAAAGGTGTCTCACAGCTAAAATAATGCAATTCACAGCTTTGCAATAAGGTTAGGCTTTGGCAAGGCAACCCGGAAGACTTAAAGATCTAAACATCACTGCTCAGGTGCTTTGTCTGGGATAGCATGCACAACACAAATAACATTCAACAAAGGAACTGCTTACTAATTTTCCATACATTTCAAGACCCGAGTAATTACATATTTGATCAATGGTCACATCTTGAAACTCTTTATTTTTAAAAGAGAAACACAGAGAGGACTCGAGAAGAAAGCCGCCCTGTGTGCCCTCACTCCCCCCGCTTCCTTTTTTTATGTGTAACTATCAATGTATATCAGCCGGGCATGCAATCATATTTATTGTCACTTTCATTCATGTCATGCCCTTGCTTATATGGTTTAGATATGAATTATTGACTGTTACACTCCTTGTTGTAATAAATAAATAAATAAATAAATAGGATGTCAGGTACTTTGCACTGCTCTACAGCGAGCAAGCAAGTCAGGGGCCAGCAGAAGCTCCCGATTTATATAACCACCCCTCGTTCCTCATCTTTATGCCCTGGTTTCAGATTGCCTTCTCAACTCTTTCTTTTTACAGGGGAGAGACTCACCCACCTTGGAAAATTAAGGATTAAAATAAACAAACAAGAGGATGTTGCTAAATGTCCTTCCCAGAGCATCTGTTGTTTAAGAACACCTCTGATTGATGACTGCTATTTTTTAATTGTTGCTTTAAATTTTAAATGCCCTCCTGGGATGTGTTATAAGTGTGTTAGTCCATGATATGAGGTCTAGAAAGTAGAAAAACAACAGAATGAGTGAGCTCGTGGCATTCTATTCTCCTAAACCCAGTGATTCTCCCAGCTATAAAATCACAGGGCACTCAAATACCGATAACCTGATGTTGTGTGACGCTTTCCACAAAGATATTTGACAACACTCTGTCGAGAATCTCTAGTTTGCTGCTTCGTGTAATTACAAGAAAAAAAGGAAAGGAAACTTTAAACACTTAAACATCCCGGTGCCCAACTCCAAAAAAATTAAGTGTTTTAAAGATGGACCAAAATATATTCCTTCAGGAAACGGACTTTTACTTTCATATTTTTCCCCCAAAGGCACATCATTCTATAAATTTCCCTTCATAACCTCTATTTCAGCCTCAATTTCAAGGAGGCCGGGAAGAGAGTTAAGGCAAATAAACCAGTAATGCCTGGTAATAACTGTCAAAGAAACTTGGTGCTTTCTTTTACAGGAAGCAGGGCTACTAGGACTTCCTACTGGAATATGCGATCAATCTTGAGAGTACTTCTATTCTGAAATTTTAATATTTAAATAATGGGTTCCTGATTGCCGGTTAAGTGGTCAATTGGCCAAAGAAAATGCTTAAATGTTGGAATCTCATTCCTACCTGTTTTTTCTTTGATTTCACACAACACATTAAACAAGGCAGGCTTCATTCTGTGGCAGTTTAAAGCATGTTTTCTGCAAGAAAGAAACAACAGAATAGCTTAGGTGGACTCTAGAGATCAAGCTGCTCCTAATGCACAGGGGGAAGAAAATTTGAACATTTAGCCAAAATTATAGACCAAGCATAACTCTGTGGCATGCTTCAATTGCTTTATGACTTAATAAACAGAGTCCCGCCATAGAAAAAGAACTAATGTTAATTAGCAGGGAGAGAGTAGGGATTTAACTACAGAACAGAACTAATCTCAATTACGCCCATTTAGGAAGAGTTTGGGGCTTGTTTGTTTGTTTTTTTTTTTTAAATAAGTAGTTTAATCCAAGTGGAAGTCTTAAACCAATAATCCTATCCAGGGCAATGAATACATGGCAGAGTCGAATGCATGGGTTAACAGTTTTGTATAATCTATGCAATCACCACAGCCTAGGAGCTGTCTGCTTCTCGGTCCGTGTGTGTTTTCAAATTTAATTCATCCATGTGTTCGAATTCATTCCGCAGATGCCCCTGTATTCTCATAAACACAAGATGCTTGAAAGGTCTTCTGAGTAGAACTGTCAATTTATAAAATTTCAGTCCCCAAGTTAAAGAGTATGGAAATGCATTGCCAGGGGGCAAACATACCCATATGGGGAATAAATTCATTTCTCTGTGTTCACATTATGTCGCTTGTGCACACACTGCTTATTTGCAGGTGTTGAAATTCAATTATTTACAATTAGGACCTTGCACCCACTGGGGGAAAAATAAATACAATTCTGCCTTTTAGATTAGTGATTTACCTGGTTCTTCTGCGTGCTTGTATTCAGAATGCACTTGAAGACCAAAACAATACCTTTCCCTTTATTATACTCTGGAAGCACTTAGCAGAAGGATATTGTTTTGGAAACAAAATACTGATCATATCAGCTATTAGTTAAGGGAATTCTGTTGACTAACTAAAATGAATGTGTAAAGATAAATGGGAACCTCTGGCACTCAAGACACATGCAGTTCTTTTTAAATCCCTTTCAAAGTTAAAAAATAGACACATCCTCATGAACGGAAACCATGAACCATGCTCTATATACTGTACATCAGAGGAGTCATAAACTCAAAATTCAAAAGTATCAAAATAAACATACACATTGTGTCTAAAACAGGAATGGTTCCCTATGTAAATAATAAATGTACATGATGAAGATCTGACTAGGGAAAGGAAACACCCGATTAAAATATTTGCTCAGTTACATTGTTTAACCAAGAAGAAAAGCTTAGTGGCGATTTAGTTCTCTTGTGGGATGTGCAAAAAGGTGAAAAAAAACTTCAATGTATCAAAGACTTCTTTCTGGGCCTTTTAAAAGAGTTTTCATTAATTGTATTCTTATATAAAGGCCCAAATGCAAAAACAAACAACAACAAAAAATTCCACACGGCTTTGCAGAAATATTGCATTGCCACAGCACATCAGTGGGGTTAGAGAGAGAGAACAGAAAATGTCACTATCCCAAAATTGTGTCTGATCTCTCAACATCTAGGCCATTAAAAGGAGGAACCCGCCAAGCCACGGCTGTCCTCAGTTGTACAAAAAGGAGTGGGACTAAATATCAGAAAAGTGGTGAGTTTCCAGTCTTACCGGCCCCTTCAGCTACATAAACTTGTTATTAAAGCAGTTTATTGGTATGTCTGAGTTTATTTTCCTGGAACAATGTAATGGAGAAATCTGTTCCAATTCCAAAAGAGACTGCCAGTGGGAAATCTTCCTCTTACCCTACCTATTAGCTTTTCTCTGGATAATAAAATTCAAAAAGGGCACCGATTAATTTTTGAAAACTTTCCCCTATTTAAAAAAAATTTAGCATAGTTCCAGTCTTTGAAACGTCCCAAGTTTTCAAGCACCCATAAACCTCAGGACTGTTGAGTTTACATGTTGCATGCGCTTACAGCTAAAATAAGAGTGTAATTCACAACATCCATGTTTTTAACTGCTCCTCATTTTCTAAACTCAAATTCCTATCTCCCTTAGACAAAAATACATATAATGATGTCTTCTCCATATAACTAAGTCTTGTGAGGTACAGGAATTGTGTGTATATGATTAAAAAGCCCAACTGCTTCTGAGATTTAACAAAGCTGGGTAATTGTAAAGACATATGTGGTCATTAGATTTTTTAAATTCTTCCTTTCGAGATTGGCCTTGGGCAAGCAGTTGGTGGGCTGCTATTTAGTTAGTGTTTTATTTTGAAAAGAGAATTTACTGTAAAATCCTAGAGTGGAGAATTATATACCTGGTAGTGGATTAAGTTGAGAAGCTACACAGCTTCTTTATTATGCTTCCTTAATGAAGATCTTCCTATCCTATAGGATTGAAATACATAAAATACACACTTGCCTTCATTTCTATTTTAGTAGCATCTAAGTGGTCCTGAAAGAAGCATGGGAAAAAGAGCATGCTTGATTTCCCCCCCCCACCCCTTTTTAAAGGACCATACATTCTGTACTACGGAAGGTTAGTAAACCCACTCAAAATAAGAGACAATAAAGTTACACTACATATCTGAGCCTCTTAAACCTACCAAATATGTTTAAAAGCAAAAGTATCTCTTCTTTCTTTACATCAGCTTTTCTTGAAACAGAATTAAATAAATGCAAAATATTTTCTGGATAGCTGACAACTACTGACAAAGAATTACCTTGCCTTTTTTTTTTTTAATAGGGAGATAAAGGGGAAAAGATAAAAATTAATTTTGGAGGAGTAGTCCAGAAAGAAAATCCAAAGTCTCTAATTCAGGGAAGGGGTCAACTAAATTTGCAAATAAAGTGTTCATGGGACATTTTATTTTGTAATGTTAAGGAGTCCTTCAACAAGAAGTCATGTAATGCTGTTCAAAACTTGACAATTCTGCTCTCTCTGATACTTTTTTAAAGCAGTAAAAAGTGCCGAGGGCCGCTTTTGGATCAGTTGGCAATATTTTCGGCGTGCCTGAGTGTTTGTCTGGATATATATGAAGACCTCTATATTCACACACACTCACACACACATACACACACACACACACACACTATACATATATATATATATATATGAAAATATATATATACACAGCCATATCACGGCATGGGAGATTACACTTTCGATAACAACGCTCCTTCAAATTTTACTCCTCCGCCATATAGTTGCTCGTCAAAATGGGCAAAGAAATAACATTTAAAAAGAAAGCGCTGTGGTGATTCGGTTCCCATTGTTTCCCCCAGCGAGAGGGAGAAAAACAAAAAACCCCAAGAAAGGAAAAGAAAAGCCTCCATCTCACCTGGCCTGCGCCTCATCCAAACTCTGGTCTGTGATGGTCATAATTTGCTGTAAAATGTCTCCAATGTCCTGCTTCCTCCCGCCCTCCCCCTCGGTCCCTCCGGCCCCATCCTGCAAGTGCTGGGACAGGCCGGGGTGTCCGGCCATCCCGACCCCAGCATGGGAATGCATCAGCCTGGGCTGCTCGTCCATCTCCAAAGGCAACGGCAGCCCCCGGCTCTTCCTCTTCTGCTCCTCGGCTCGGCTCCTGGGAAGCACCAAGGCTTTTTATCCTTCAAGCTGTCTTCAAATCCTTTTCAGGATAAACAGGGAAGGGGGGGAAAAAGAAGACCAAAAGAAAAAGAAAAAAAAAATCCCTTTGCCTCTTTAGAGGATGGTGGGAGGATGGGGAGTGGGGAGGGGGAGGGGGGCGTGAAGGGGTTGCGGGGTGAGGGTGGGGATAAGGGCTGGTGGGGAAGGGTGTTGACTCCAAAAAGCAAGAAAAATAAACCACCTTCCCACTTGACGAAAAGAAATCAGAGCTGGCTTTTGGTTTTTCAGTCCGGTATCCTTTGCAAGGCAGAAATGGGCTCCCGGCGCTTATATCTGTGGCTTAATCCTTTTGCAAATATGCATTGATCGGGAGAAAGGAGAGGAAGGCAGGGGGATTGCAATGCAAACTTTCCCCCCCACCCCCCGCTGCCCCCCACCCCCGCTCCGGGCCAGAGTGATCTCAAAGGGGGTGGGCTGTTGCAAAAGCCAGATCTCCCCCAGCCGCGGCGGCAAGGCAGAGCACAGGCTCTCTCCTCCACCGTGTCTCTGCAAACTCCAGCAGCCCCGTCAGCCTCCTGCTTTTGTTTAGCTCAGGCTCAGGACTCCAGAAACATACACAGAAAAACCACAGCCTGAGAGGAGGAGGAGGACGAGAAGGAGAAGGAGGAGAGGGGAGGGGGCAGAGGAAAGGGAGGAGGGGGCGGGGAAGCCGGGAGGCGGGGAAGGGAAGGAGGGAGGAGGGCACCCGGAGCCCCGCCCCCCTTCCCTGATTGGCCATCGGAGAAAAGACGGGCCCCCTCTTCCCCCTGCTTTCCTCCCTGCGCCTCCTCCTCGGTCTCCTTCGGCTCCTCCTCGCCCGGCGCCCTGTCAATCAGAGTTCAGAGGTGGGCCGGGAAGGAAGGCGAGCTGCTACCAAGTCTCCAGTCCTTAAAGGTGCAATGATACCGAAGCGCCAGCTCGGTTAGTCGGTTCCCACTTTTCCTGCCTGCCTCACTTGGGTTCTGTCCTTGAGAAAAATGTGGCTCCACTTAAAAGCAAACGTATAAAATTAACACGAAAGAACAAGGACGGTGTGGGTCGCCCCCTCAACTCGGGTTTTTCTTCTGCTGTAACGTTGCCATTTAAAACTTGATCCTTTTAAATCGTTAGAGCTCAGGGAAACTGTTGAGAGCGAAAGTTTGTCAGCACGAAGTTGTTATGAAACAATCGAGCTGTTAATGTAATTAATAATGATCTCTAATAAATGGCATATGTAAAAAATAGATTTTAAAAAACAATCACAATAGAGCTAAAAGTAATACTGAACTGTGACATTTTGGTTGCATGGAAACTAAATTATGGATTATGAAACTAAATAATGCTGAAAAAAAAGATTAATAAATAAGTTCACCAAATGAAACTAATTCAACATCTCTCTCTCTTCCCCCTGGGGGAAATTAGTTATTTGGCTTAAGTACTTAATAAAGAAATACATTATCACAGTCTGGTTCTAGTTTTTAATGTAGTCTAATAAGCATTATTAACTGGGATAAGAAGCGAACTGACATCTATTGAATGCCTACTACGCACCAAGTAATTTACATGAGTTATTTTATTTAATCCCCAAGACATCTGTGTGAGTTATGGATTATTAGTTCCATTTTACAGAGAGGGAACTTCGAAAGGTTAAGTAACTTGTCCACGGTCCCATGTGTGAATAGTGTAAAAATTAGTTATGTGCCCATCTTGTCTGAAAAGAGACTCAAGATGCTTAAAATGATACATATTCAAACAAATTGACTCAAATTGAAAATGAGTAGGAAAGAATGAAAAAAAAAAATTAAATTAAATCAGGGGATGGGACTTCCCTGGCGGTCCAGAGGTTAAGATTTCACCTTCCAATGCAGGGGGCACGGGTTCAATCCCTGGTGGGGGAGCTAAGATCCCACATGCCTTGCGGCCAAAAAAAAACAAAACATAAAACAGAAGCAATATTGTAACAAATTCAATAAAGCTTCTAAAAATGGTCCATATTTATAAAATAAATTAATTAATTAAAATAAAAGCAGTGGGGGCTTCCCTGGTGGCACAGCGGTTGAGAATCTGCCTGCTAATGCAGGGGACATGGGTTCGAGCCCTGGTCTGGGAGGATCCCACATGCAGCGGAGCAGCTAGGCCCGTGAGCCACAACTACTGAGCCTGCACGTCTGGAGCCTGTGCTCCGCAACAAGAGAGGCTGCGATAGTGAGAGGCCCGCGCACCGCGATAAAGAGTGGCCCCTGCTTGCCACAACTAAAGAAAAACGCTCGCACAGAAACGAAGACCCAACTCAGCCAAAAATAAATAAATAAATTTAAAGACAGAAATCTATAAAATTTATTAAATAAATAAATAAAAATAAAATCGGGGGGAAAACCTAATAAGAAACTCGTAGCTGAAGTTCGATACTATCGCTCCAGGTAGACCATCAATTCACCTCTCAACTTTCCATCAGGCACATGAGAGTGGAACTCTGACTGGGTACACAGTCACAGTGGCCACAAGATAAAAGAGCAGATGAATTATTTTGGAGAAGCCAAGAACAGTATTTCGGAATATAAAATATTCTACTGTGCAGATAGCCCTCTTCCTGGATGGCAGTATAGCCAAAAGAAATGCATTGAACTGCTCCAAGCATAAGTGTACCTGATCCGCAAAATGGAAGGTAGCCTCACCAAATGCTTTGAGATCCTCAAATAAAATGTTATTCTTCTTCTCAGTCCAACCTCCTTCCCAATCATTACAAAAAATAAGTCTGGCAAGATAAGGGACTTGTGACAGGATTTCAAAGCAATTCTTAAGCTATTTGGTACTCATTTGCATGAGGGCATGCAGTAGGGAGTGTTAATTGCAATTACGATGTCATATTACTAGAAACAACTGTTCTATCCACTTACATATCCTGACTTGTTAACTGGGTTTTTTAAATCAACACTAATAATCCTCAAATCACATATCAGTCCCAGTGAGTGTGAGTTAGCACATCCCTGACAACGATGAAGTTATCATGTCTTAAAGCATGAAAAGAAGTTAACTCAGAACCAATAAGAAATCAGTTTGTGAGCAAGTAATTAGAATTACTAAAAATCTAATAAAAATTTACTAGGTAAAGTATCGGAAAACATACTATCAGTACCAGAAGACCATTGTCATCTAGGAACGTTTTAGTAGGGAAATAAGAAATGTACAACAATAATATTAATGACTATTAAGTGCTTTATAAGGATAAGATATATTCAAGGTGCTTTATTAATTTAATCACCACAATTATTTGCCTCAACACCTACACTTTTAGAGTATTGCCAACACTATAGTGTTGCTGAAATATATTTTAATACAAAGTAAATGCTATAGAAGGTATGCTATGCCTTAGACATCCTATAAAGGATGAGATAAGGGGACGATTTGGTTAGAGTGATTAGAAGAAGACTTTGAAGTGGAGCTGAAGGATGAGTTGGATCTAGAAGACATGGTGAGTGAATCTGACAGAAATACAGAGTTTCTCTTCAGGCAAAATGGAAATGATTAGCAAAGTATAAACGTGAGGAGTCTGAACAGTAGCATTTGTGCTTTATTCGGTGTATGCTGGGAAGCCACTGAGGAAACAGGGGAGCCGAAAAGCATGTTTTAAGAAAAACTATCTGGTTGCCCAACACAAAATCTAAGAAGATGAAATAAGGAAGGTAAATGAGGAAGGTGGCAGAAGAAATGGAAACGAGAGGGCAATTATGAGGAACGTTTTCAAGGAAGAGCCACTAGAACTCAATAATTGATTTTGTGTCAGTGGGAAGAATAAAAATAATGTTTTCAAGCTTGGGTGAGAAGAATGCAGTGGCACTCACAGAATAATAATTATACCTATAGATAGAATTTGTTGAGTACTGATTACGTTTCAGGCACTGTGTATACATTACCACTTAATTTTTACAATTTGACAATTTTAATAACATCCTTGTAAGGTTATAATCTCCATTTTGTAGATGAAGAAACCAAGGTTCCTAGAAGTTAAATTACTTGACAAAATATGTATTTAAAAACTCTCTCATTTTTAATACTTTACAGAGGATCAAGAAAGAGGAGACACTGCCATAGGTGAAACAGAATAAAAATTAGTCTTCTATTTGCATTAAACAAACAAACAAAACTTCTAAAAGTAGGAGAAGAAACTTACACATGCGATTTCCATATCTTCTGGGTTGTGGCAGGGGATGGGTAGTACTTTTTTGTACCTTCCATACCTCAGCAGTGCTTTAATTCTACTAGGTATGTATTAAATATGCGTTGAAAGAATGAATGATGAATAATCACACTGTATTTCTTCAGAATAATAACTGAAGTCCACTGAATCATGTTTTAAGGGCATGACATGAGTCATGACCAAAATTTGGCCAACTAGCAGAGTAGTTCTCAATCTGACCTTATTCTAACGTTTACAAAGTCACCTCACCATGTTTGCCTCTGCTACGTCAGGATTTTGTTTACTCTGAGGATCCCCTTTCAAGCTTCATTACAAGCCCACTAGCATGTTGTCTCATCTGCACTAAGGAGTGAAGATCGGGGTGCAAGAGGAATGTACAAGGACCTCGGTTTCTCCCCCAGAAAACAAAATGGTTGCAAAGGCATGGGTCCCCTGGCGTAGTCACAGAAATAAATTCACTACAACATGGTGTTACATCGTCTAAGCAGAAACTCATCTGTGTATCTTTATGATTACGTTTGAATTGGCCTCTAGGTTTCTGTAACTCTTCTACTTTATGGGAACAAGTAGAAAAACTCTTCACCTCTTCTCCAGAGCGTCAGAACCAGAGTTAGTAACCAAAGACAAGACCTGGGGCAGTAGACGGCATCTATTTCTCCGCCCAAGGATTCTCATCTTTCTGCTTCAGCTATTCTCTTACCCCATGCTCCTTGCTTTTCTTCAACTTTTCCACTCCCTTCTCCACCCCCATTCCTCTTGCTCTTCCTTTTCTTCTGTCTAACCTCCCAGTCCTGATCACAGAGATCTTTCCCTCCCAGCTTGGTCCTGTTGCCTTGCCTCACTGGGCGGGCCCTGAAAGAGTGCTGGGCCCACCACCCTGCAGGTAGCACTAAAGTCATGTATCAGAGCAGGCAGAGCCTAGAGCAGAGATTCTTAACCCAGGGTCCATAAATGAGCTTCAGGAATTCTATGAACCCTTGAAAATGCTATACAAAATTTGGTACTATGTACTACTTTACATTATTCTTAGAACAGAGTCCATTATGTTTATCAGAGTCTCAAGAGATTTCAAGACCCCAACAGGTAACAACTACTAGACTTGGATTATCAAGGAAAGTGAATGGTACAATTCTACCCTGCCTAGGTCTGGGAAAACCAGGTGGCTTTTAGCAGGTGAGATTTTTCTAGGAAATATCTGCCTCTCTTTCCTAAACAAAGCAAAAGCTACCAGACTGTCAACAGCTTATTAGGACTGGCTATTGAATGATAGTCAATCCAATAGCAATATCAGGGCTAAAGAGCTGCAAGCACTAACCCTTGAAAGTAAATCAAAAGGAAGTGGCTGGGGATCTTTGGTAGAACATTGATGTTGTCGTATTGTTCATGACACGAATATAGTGGTAA